ATCAGTCAAAGAAGTAGTTGAAGTGCTAGGAGATAAAGGAAAAGAAGTTGGATCACAAATTAACACAAGGAAAACAAAAGCCTTAATACAAACAAGAAAGAGAAGATCATTAGGCCATCACATAAAGATCACGGAACATGAAATAGAAGTGGTGCAAAGAGTCACATACCTGGGAGTATGCAAAACAAACAAGAATGAGGAAATGGTAGAAATACAAAGGAGAATTCAAGCGGCCAATAAAGCATATATCTCGATATTACCACTGATAAAATTCCACGGAATGAATAAGAAAGTAAATATCACATTATATAAAACTCTCATCCGTAGCATATCATGGTAACATGGGTACTCAACCAGAATGCAGCAGAAAAAGTGGATCGGTTTGAACGGAAAATCCTGAGGACAATTTTCGGCCCAACACAAGAAGCAGGCGAATGGAGGATGAAAACTAATCAGGAAATCTATAAATTATATAAAGACATACCATTGTCACAATTTATAAAAATCAAGAGACTAAAATGGGCAGGTCACTTGATTCGGATGGACGACATCCGAATTCCAAAGATGGTATTCAATGGAAGTGTTGGAGGAAGAAGACCAGTTGGAAGACCCAAGAACAGATGGAAAGATGCAGTTCAAACGGATGTCACACTGCTCCTGAGGATTAGAAATTGGAAGAAGGCAGCGGAGGATAGGATCGAATGGAAGAGGAGAATTGAGGAGGCCATGGACCGAATACGGACCGGAGAGCCATAGAAGAAGAAGAACTTTCCATGACCTCTTAGCATACGCTCAGTTTTCCAGCAACGCCATCCACTATTTGAACTGGACTATACCCGGATTTCCACATTCACAAGCATTCATGTAGAAGTCAATCTAATGGTAATGGATCCAGAGAATTCCAAATTAGTGACATCTGGGATACTTTCAGGGAAGTAGGGACAGACACAATCCTTCCAGTTAACTATGCGAAATGAAACTTCGGAATATAATGTGGTAGAAATTCATCTGAGTCCGTTGTGTTATCATGACAATTTATAGTTGATTACGTGGTAAAAGTGGTTCTAAGTCGCACAACGTTGTGGACAGCAACAGAATTTACGTAAACTGGAATTATACAGAACCGATGGTTTTCCAGTTTCATAACTTTAGTGATGTGTCTGTCTACTGACGTCAGTGGATCTGGCAGAACAGAATATTCAGAGTTTATTCCTTGACGTAACGCAACTTTGATTTCAATTACATAAATTCCGCACGTACAGAACGAACATAAATTTACTTCACCGTCTCAAATAACTGTAATTTCAGTTAGGAATTATTGCACTTCATTGTCTTGTTTTTGGACCCTTAACTAATCTGAGACAACACATTTTTTGGGCACACTTCCTTGAGTGGGAGATCAGCCCATGACAAAACTTTTGGCATTGGAGTGTCGTCTACTAGGTTGTGACGCCATGCTTTACTGTACATTGTTATAAACGTTTCGTAAGAACCTACCGCCTCCATCTTCAGGAAATATAATAACAAACAAAACCACAGTCATGCATTTTCTACCTGCGCTGCACACTGTCGTGGTAGTGAAATTCCTAACATGACGGCGAGACGTATACAACTGAAATTCATAATGGAACATTTCTATTTTGTATGGATATGGTAATTATTAATTCTGTGTGTATATGAATTCTTTCTCATAGAAACTTTCGTGAGAGCTGATGAATTTTCGTAATAATCCACTGATAACAATAATAGCAACATGTAGCTTGTACAGTGCCTGAGGTGAAAACTACACCAGCGCCACACACTGCTCTGTCTTGAAACTGTGAGAGATAAGAAAACAGAATCCTACTCTTAAGATTATTCTTCCATGTACTGCGGGAGAAGTCTGTGTCCACCGTAGCTAGACGGGGCGAATTTTGTACGGAGGTGATCGCCCTACATACAAATTATGTGCAAAATGTGCATTTGTGTGTTACATCAGACCACAAACAAGACAACGATGCTAAACTTTGATGTACGTATTGATAATTCTACAGTATTCTAGCTGGAATCGATACCAGTACAAATTATTTACAGAATCGGTCGTTATATTTTACAAGGCGTCACACTTAGATCCCGATTCAAATAAATTATAACTTGCGGTAGCCATACTGAGTACTTATAATTTATAAAATGTGACAACAAACTTGAATTTTTCTTAAATATTATGCCTCGTATCATATCCGCACCTTTTTTCCCTTTTCAGTTTAATTTATTTAAACAGGAACCCAAGCATTACTCTACGTGTGTAATTATTTATTTATTAAGTGTTCTGTCTGACGACAGGTCCATATGAACAGGATCCTTCCATCCTTTTCTCGGACTGGGACCTGTTCATATACGTTCTTGGCAGATGATCCAGAAGTGGTTTTCCATTGCCTTCTTCTGTGTGTGAATGGAGTAATTGTTGGGATGCCACGGAGAAACCGGGGAAGCCCCCGGAGGAAAACTCCGTGTTGCCTAGAGTCTAGGCAACACGGCCGTGGTCTAGGCCCTAGACCACGGCCTTGCCCAACACAAGTTATAAATTCGGGCACCGCCGGGAATCGAACCCGAGACCCCAGGATTACAAGGCCAGCGTTCTAACCGCTAGACCACCGTGGCTACTTACGTGTGTAATTATAAACACTGAATTCCGACTAGCGACACATACAAGCGTCAGAAATTTTATCCAGAACTTCTTATGATTCCTGGGCATCATTTCCTAAGTCTTTTAGAATGCTCTCGTTACGAGAGGTAAATATAAGAACATCGAGTGGGCCCCTACCACATGCCAACATACCTCCTACTCCCATCCGCTATTAGGAAAGGCTGTTCTGAGTAAAACAGATTAGCCGAATGTAGCGAATGAATCCGAACTTCCCCGAAACCAGACTTTCCGGGAAACTGCCCTCCGTGCGACCGCTTTCCACAGATACACATTTAATTCCGCAGAACATTTCATAGAGCTGAAATGCGCTGCCCACAGACCGCATTCTGAATTATCCGGACAAATATTACGACGACCAAAGAACAGAAGCGAGTGGTAAGATATTTAGTTTCCATGACGAAGACGAGACGTCGCACAAAGCCTGTCGGAAATGATGCATGAAAGAGTTCAGATGGGAGAAAGGGAGTGAATGGAAGACTGGATTCAAAACACTCACGACAGGATCCAATAATGGACACTTCTTAACACGGCAATGAGCAATCTGATTCTACAATAAGAAGTGATTGCTGCCTTCAACATCAGGACGACTGCCCCGATGAGGGAGGAAGCAAACATCTCTGAAACATCAGCAAACTTCTAAAAGGCGTAACACCCCTGAAGGCTGTAATCTTCTTTCTACTTTCATTAACTTTAAAAAATAGACATATCATAGATAACGCCACTAATTTGTACTTTGATACTGTAATAAGTGCGTACGCAAAAATGAATCTAATTAACGTTTTATACTCTTTATTAACAATGCACCAACTGTTTTCTCAAACAGTATAAATCATATAACCTGTATTTTTTAAAACAATTTGTCAAACGTTCTCGTGTCGATAGAGAGTAAAATCTCTGAAAAGAAAATACTTCCAACGAAATAAAATATTTTACATTTTCCCATCATACAATCTTATTAGACGCGAAAGTAAATTGCCATAAAAATAAAATAAGACAGTCTGAACTGGAGTGCCGTCTGAAATCAGTTTGCGTGCCACGTGGCATGCATGTCATATTAACAGAATAAATGAAACACAAACAAATGAGTTCTGGTTTAGTTGCACCACCACTTACCAACAGCCAGACACCGCGAAGCACGAGAGACTTAGCACGACTAAAATACTCGATGTGAGGAAAGTGTACAAACCAGACCTTGGCTCAAGACGCACGAAGAATATGGAAATAATCAAACCGTCAAAAACAGTTTTAACCTTAAGTTGCCGGGCTGTGTCACGCATTAAAAAATTTGATAGATGCCGGAGGAAAGAAAGAAAAAGTACGGAACGTAAAGAAAAACAGATGCACAGAAAGGGGTGTAAGCGAGAGAAAGGGAGGGTGATGGTTTCGCCTTTCAGAACCCCCGTTCCCACAGCTATGCCGGCCAAGGGCAACAGTACTGGCCTTACTTGGAGATGTCGTGTGACGTCACTCCATTCTGTATCGTTTCATTTATGGGTCGAAATGGTGGAACTAGTTTTCGTCACCAGCCGCGACGCTGAATAGGAAGTCATCGTCCTCGGAAGCATGCCATCTAAGTAACTGTGATGACACATCCACGTGTGTCATTCTGGGCAGGAGACCAGAGATTAGCGACTCTGGGATACTCGACAACGTTTCTGTTGTGCTGACGGACACGGCACGGTCTTCTGTATGCCAAGCTCCGATGCGATTTCCCCAAACGCGCTCCTTCGGTTTTCTTTGTACGGCGTCAGTTTTCTTCTCGAAGACTTCAGCTGTGACGCTTCTGGGCCGACCACAACATGGTTGGTAGACGACGCGAAGTCCGCTATTTTCGTGTTTGAAGTGGTTCACCGCCTTTGACTCTGTTGTTGTCCATGTTGGCATCTCCATAAACACGAAGATGTCGTCAGTAGATGTCTGTATTTGAGTCGTTCGCAAAAACAAAAAAAAGTATTGGCAAGTTTGTCACAGCGGATTGCGGAAACACTACTGGTGCACTGCACCTGAACTGAATTCATATTTACGAGGAAAGACGTCGCAGCCGACATCACACGCCGTGTTCCACTGCACAGAGAACCGCGTAACCAGAACCTACCTACGACCACCATGCGACGGCAATGTTCTGCACTGTGACAACTCATTTCCAGGCACGGTAGTTCGCTCGCTGCTGCAGGGGGCAGACGTGTGTATCCGACTACGATCATGTTTTGGGTACGGCTTTCGTATCTCATGGGACGGTATTTTGTATGAATCTTTACGTTGGACTATACTGACTGTTTCGAGCTATGTTCAAATGACAGATCTCAGGGCTTACCTTGGAGGCTGATTACTCGGCCCGCTTCATGAAACTCATAAAGCCCATATCTGCATTAACTCCAGAGCCAACATCGAAAAATCCGAAACTACAGACTCTATCTGAAACACAAAACAATTTTCAGAGGTAAGAAAACAGTTTAAAAACCGCCATTTCAATGTTATTCGCTCAAAAGCCATTCATATCTCGTTCTCTGCAGTTTTACAACCGTTGAAAACGAATTTTTTTCAGCAAAATGTGCAAATCCAACCAGCATTATTTATTCTCATAAGAATATCAAGTGCCAAGTCCAAATCGAACAAATTCCAATTTATGTACGCTTATCTGCCTTCTGTTAATTCATTCACCTTCCTTCGGCCCAAACGCTGCCTTCAGCACTTCGTTTTCAAACCCTCTACAGCGACGTACGAATACGGTTTGCTCCTCCGCGCGCAAACACACGCATTTTGCAACGTCGTCGACCGCCATGCAGGAGTCTGGTTAAAGCTTGAATTAACTGAATACTTTATACACCACCTCTCCGACCTGCCTAAGCAGAACCTGGCACCTGCGACGTTCACTTTCCAGTTCTTTATCTAATGCTGAATACCAACAATTTACTTTACGTAAGCACAATATCCACACAGCATACAACAAACACGATATTCGTGTGTACAAATAAAGGAAATTAGTGCTACCGGAACGTACAGCAAGTGACTTCTGATAGGCTCATCAAGGCACGTAAGAGTACGTGCGCAGAAAAGTCCTAACTCGGCCGTCAACCCTCGTCTCGCACATTTTACATGGATGTGTGCGCCCCTACGGGTGGAAGAGATAATTTCACACTCGTATAAATTAGGAAAAAGGATAAAATACAAAAACCCCATGGACACATTATATAACAAAAGGTCCGACAGTTACGTGACTCGTAAGTAACGAACAACCAACGCGTTAACCATTACACAAGTAATTCTGTGCTGCCAGTTCAATTACGATGTACATGCAGCTGAAAACTGTCGGGAACAGTGAAATGTTCGATATACCTAAACTTCATACTTACAATGTAAGACTTGAGGTTCTCACAGCGGTGAATATGAAGATTTCTGTCTTCTGGGTTATTGCGCTGTGTAGTCTGGTCGATGTTAACCAACGTTTCAGAGGTCATACTGCCTCCGTCATCAGGGCGATGAATATGCCAATAGGCCAACCAAAACCAACCACCCCAACCAAAAAGCTAACCGAGGGCGGA